TATGAATGCTTGGCCTTAGCTTATGCTTGTTTCTAACTAGCCTTTTTTTTAACTTAAATTAACCCATTTCTAATTAAACTGTGTGCTGCCCTGAGGCTTGTTTACTTATCTACACGCTGTCCATCCCACTTTCCTGCTTCCTCCGTGTCTGTCTGTCTGTCTGTCTGTCTGTCTGGCCCCTTTTCTCTCTGCCCACCAGCCCCAACTATCCCTCCCCTGTCCAGCTATTGGCCGTTCACCTTTTTATTACACCAGGCAGGCAAGGTGAAAAACTGCAACACATCTTTACATACTTTAATAATTGTTCTGCAACACATCTTTTTACATAGGTTAACAAATATTCCATTCCACAACACTTGACCACCCCAAGGATGTCACTCCCTGCTTGGTTGTGGGACTTGAGAAGGCAGGGGTGCAGAATGTTAGGGTCCTGTTCACAGGTTGAGCTGAAGGTGACCAGAAGAGAGAGTTTTTCAGAGTTGAATATAGGGGTGATGAGGCAGTGAGATCAGACAGGCCAGGCCCTTGTTGGGGGTGTGGTTTCTGTAAGGGCCCGTCCTCTCCGAACCAGCAGGACACAGCCTGAGACCCTGGGCAGCTTTCAGAACTGTGTCACTGTCTGCCCATCCAAGGAGAGGGCAAAGGATTTCATCATACAAAGCCATGGAAACAACTAAATGATAGAGTTTACGATAAAAATAAACAAACACGCCCAGAGGGAAAATACAAAAGAATAAAACCTAGAACTGTCACCTGCCTGTGCCCCCAGTCCTAGCCGCTCCCTCTGAACAGGAGCTGGCCCCCGGCATTCAGGACATGTGTACAGGAGCATCAGGTCATCCTCCCTTACATAGTGTGAAGCCAGCCTGGGCTATGGGAGACTCTGTCTCATAAGAAGAAAGTTCCCTGTGGCACACATAAAAGAGACAATATTGGTTTATTCCTATTGGACGATGCACAGAAAGAAATGGCCCTCTGCGGCACAAAGGAAAAAAATTCCATTGAAGCCATGTCTAGGTGGCCGGTGAGCTTATTCAATCAGCCAACATGAATGGCAGTGCCCCGGGTCTCCTGTGTGACACTGTCCTCTCCCATTCAAGGCTAGGCAGCCCCAGAAATTGGTTGTGGGTGGTACTAACACCCACACCCCACTGCACTTGGCTCAAGCTCAGCCATGTTGGGAGAACGGCCTTATTGCCCCGTTTCACAAAGAGAAAGCTAAGGTTCCTGGTCACTGGGTTGGGGAAGGCAAAGAAGGACCCCACCTGACGTCAGTACTAGGATGGGACTCACCCCTCTTTCTGCTTCTTCCTGCCACCCCCAGTACATCCGCTGTTTGGTAAACAGCATGCACAGGGGCAGGCCTGGATTCCGATTTGGAAACTACTCAGGCTGCATCGAGGGGCCCAGTGTGGCCCAGCCAGCAGAGGACAATTAATTACTGGGATCATGCAGAGGCCGGGCTAGGGCCCAGCGCCCGGGTGTTTACACCGCACTCGTCTGTTTGGGGCCAGCAAATCCGTGTCAGATGTTAATGGAACTGCATCATTTTTCTGCCGAGGTGGCATCCCTGGTGTGTGTGGGGGGGGGTTGGATGAGGAGGAGGCCGGCTGGACTCAGAGTGGGCTGTGAGCAGCTTAAGAGAGAGGACACCATCTGTCAGGCTGCAGACAGACTAGTCGGCTCTCCTCCATGGCCTTCCCTCCCTCTGGAGTGGACAACACCGCCCAGCATATCCAGCCTCTCAATAGACCCCGTAGCTGGGGTGGTAGGGGGAGGTCTGGGCACAGAACAGGACACCATTGAGTCAGGATGATGTCCCAGGAGACTCTGGCCAGGGGTTCAAGGTTGCTGGCATCACTGGGCGGCCTCCACCTGCACTTCCATCTCAGGACCAGGAAGCCACTGCAGGAGCTTTCGGGGTAGGCCTGGCCACAGGAAGGAGGACACTGTTTCCTTCCTCCTCCAGCTGGAGATGCCCTTTCATCAAGAAAGCATTGCAAGAAATGGCCAGGAGAGGGAAATGGCCCTGCCCAAAGTTAGACAGGAAGCCAGATCCTCAGGGCGGGATCACTTCCTCCTGGGGCCTGGTGGGGAGAAGTGAGTCTAGTTCACCCGAGGGAAGTCAGGGCCGTTCTCCCCACTTTGCAGATGACAGAGCTGAGCCTACAGGGTCAGAGTGGCCAAGGGCTGGCCAAGGTGAGGCGGTTCCCAACCTCCTCTTCCCGTCATCACTGCCTCCCACTCCTCCTCCTCAAGCTTGACCCTGCCCTGGAGACTTTGCACAGTCTATTTGCCCAGCAGTCTCCCTTCAGGCCTGGGTGCTCTGTGTGCTCAATCACCTCCTCAGGAAGGCCTTCTTGCCCAGACAACCTGACATGTACCCAGCTGCCCCTTCCATGAGCCTAGGCTTAAGAGCGAAGTCAGTCACAAGAAAGTGTAGGGGCCTGCCCAGCGCACAGCAGACTCATGGGAAATGTGACCATACCTGCTACAGGGCCATTTAGGAAAGCTATGGCCTGGTACCCTAGGACCTACTCTAAGCTCCTGTGGCACATTCTCAGAGGGATAGCAACCCTTGACATCAGGTCTCCCAACTCTCCTCCTGAATCAGTGTCCAGTTTTCTGATGCCATGGACTCTTAGTCCTGCCCTGCCTTAGTGTCCCCATCTGCAAGGTGGAACCCTCATTTAGGGCGGAGTGGATGCAGACCCAGATCAGTCTGGGGACAGAAAAGGTCCCAGAGGGGAGGGACTGGTGGATAGTGGTGACTGAGACCTTTGCAAGGGCCCAGGCCTCAGGGAAACCTTGAGAGCTGCCTTCCTGGCCGCCATTTGCAGGAGACTATCCCTCAAAATCCCAAGAGCCATGGAACTGATTAGGCTTCACTTAAAGTCTGCTCTAGGGGCTGTGAAACACTGTGCCTCAGTTTCCCACCAGCAAAGCACTTTTTCAAGAACTTTTTCAGAGAGTGGTTGTCATGTGTGTAATATCGTGTGTGTAAGAGATGATATTGACACTTGTGCTTAAGGTAGTTACTGACTGAATTGATGTGATTTTTCCTGTCTCCTTCTCAGCACGTGCTTATAACTTTGTTTTATGCCCTAGGGGAGAAGTAACCACTGGTCACTGGCCTGTTCCCGGCCCTGCCCTGCCCCCTGGTGTTCACTCTGAACATTGCCCCCATGGGCTCCCAATTAGACCCATTTCTGTCAACAGCAGGTTTGGGACTGCCTTTGGGACCAGGTGGACAAAGGTTCCAGGTATCTAAATAAGCAGGACACACAGGGATAGACCGAGTGACTGTCTTGCTGATCTCCCTGCCATGCACAGAGAGGATGAGGACTTTCCAGGGACAGGGGTGGGAGAGCCCCTTTGCTTTTGGCTCACCTATGCTCCTTCTGCTTATGTGGGCCAATTCCAAGACCCTCAGCAGGGGCTCTGTGGGGCCTGCTTAGAGGTAGCCATGGTCCCTCATTTTGTTTTGGTCCATGGTTCTGTCTGAACAGCCTGAGGTCTGGCTGACCGGGAAAGTGTCATCTCCAATTGGGCCTCACTGGGACTCTTCCTGGAAGCTCACGAAAGTCAGGAGCTGTGCCTAGTGGGTCCTTCCATGCTCTTTGCCCACATACATACAGGTTGCCTGGCACACAGCAAAAGCTCTCCACACGGCACAGGCTGGCTGGATTGGAGCCAGGCCCTGAGAGCTGCTGGGTAGCCTTGGGAAGCTCGGGCCCAGGATCCTCAGCTCCCAGACAGGCCTCACAGCCACCTTGGAAAGGGGATGGATGGGTCCGCCCTGTTGCAGGAATCCTGGGCTCCAAGCCTGCCAACTTGAGGGTGGTGTGAGGTCCCGATGTTGGCCTTGGGGTACAGCTGCATGGAGGTACACAGGGCTGGGTGCTGACTCCTATCTTCAGGGATGCGGTGGGAGCAACCCAGAGAAATCTCTGGGTCAGGTGGGGGGGGCGTCACCAGATCACTCCGTGACTCATTAGGGTTGAGGGCATGAGAGGGTATATACACCCAGGTGCCTGAAGGCGGTGGCTCAGCATGGGCCCAAGGCGCCACCTAGTGGCAACACTGGGACCCACCCCCATGGAAAAGGTTGTGTGTGTCCCCCCCCCCCCCCCGGACTCAGTCACAGCTCCAGTTGGAGCCTCTCTTCTGAGAATCCAGCAGGCATCAGAAAACACAAGGCTTAAAGGGGCTCAAGCCAAGGTCACGTGCTGTGTTACAGGTCAAAAGGCAGGAGGAATCCCAGCTACCAGTCGGTCCATCTCCATTCCCTGGCACGTGTTGGCAGAGAGGGCTCACACTAGCTCCTTGCACTGGCTGACCTTGGCTACACGCTGGCCTCTTAGTTCCTTCTCTAAACAATGGAAACCCATCCATGTCCAGCTCTGGTCTCCATCGCTGGGTGACGCCCAGGTGTGTGTGGGGCTGGGAGGGCACAGGGGCCTGCTCAGCAGGGTGCGGCAGTGGCTGGGTCACTTCCTGCCAGCACAGAGCTGCTTTCTCACACACCTGCTCTTGTGGCTGCTCGCCTGTCGCCATCGGCCTCCTCCCCAAAGGGAACTGAGCCCTGCTGAACCACGCCACCCCCACAATGGACGTCCGCGACGACGTCTTAGGGAATGGCCTGGGAAGGGCGGCTGCCGTTGGCTTGCTGCAGATAACATCAATAAGGGATGCCCCTGGCCAGAGCCCACTGGAGTCACGTGAGCCTCGCAGAGTGGAGCACAGGGAGGGTTGGAGGTCTCCTCACCGCGCCCTGACTGGGTCACAGGGCTAGTCTCAGGCTCCCTGGGGACCCTGAGAACGCTTCTGAACGCACATTCCTGCTTGACATTTGGAGGCATGGTGGCTTCGGAGCGCAGTCTGAGGCTGTCCCTGGGGAGTGTGGCACCCACAGCCCAGGCAGGGGAGCTGGTCCCATCTTCACGTGCCCCATAGGGTGACAGAAGGGTGGGCAGGAGGCAAGTACGACAAAGACATGCTTCTGTACAAAACCTGAAATATTTTTACTTTTTTAAAACTTTGGTCTAAGCTGCCTTAGACCTCATGGACTCGATACAAGAGTAATATGAACTGGGAAATAGAACACTTTAATAGCCACGATAAACTTTGTTAGAAATGTACATGTCGCCAAAATAATAATAAAATTAAAAAGGAGAGAGAACAGCTTGATGCCCGGGTTAAGATTATAGAAATGTTCACAAGGATGGGGTCAAGGAAACTTTAAAAACACCAGTTCTGAGTAAGCCTGGGGCCCGCAAGATGCCCCTCTCCCAGCCCCGGGCCCTGGGGACGGTGTCCCTCCAAACAGGTCAAGTGGGAGTGGATAAGGCCTCCGCCAAGCTGCATCTCCTCATGGACAACACATCCAGGTAACGGGTGTAGAAACAAACCTCATAAGAAATGTACAAATATAAAAAGCTACAAACATTAATAAATTACAGCATCACGAAACACAAATACTTCACAAGGTGCTAGTAAAATAAGTGCATCCCCGACCCCTCGTCATACAAGAAGGAGAGCGAGGAGCTGGTGTGAGACTGGAGATGCGGCCTCGGGCGTGTGGGAAGGGGATCTGTACTATCCGCTCTGAAAGACAGAGTGTAAGGCTGCGCAGGCGCCGTTGTTTTTCAGGCAATACCTTAGTTCCTAAGAGGAAAATAAGAAGAGTAACAAAAGGAAAGGAGGGAAAGAAAAGGGGGTGGGGCCAGAACCCGACTGTCCATCAGAGCCAGGGGGAGGGGGGAGCAAAAACTCGTATAAAGGTTAATGAAGGACTCTATAGAAAGAAATTCCTAGAGATACTTTCGCTCTTATAAAAAAAGTCATTTAAAAAGCTATTTACACGCTACATTCTATGAAAAATATGCTTCCGGAAATACATCTAAAATGAAAATACAGGATTGCCTGAGAAACAAACCCAGCCCCTCAGTGTCGATGGGTAGACACGCCACCTGGGAAGACCCATGCTCATGATGCCACCCCGGGGCTCAGACAAGCGCTGCCATGCTGGCTCCAGCCCTGTGGCCCTGCCCACCTGTCTGCCCACTCAGGGCAGGGTGCCTTGGCCTAGAAGTGCTGTTCCAGAGTGGGGCCCCTCCACGTGGCTTAGCCTGGGTCCCCCGGACCCTAAGACGTGGCTGAGCTGTCACCCTTCCTCTGTGACCCCACAGTGGTTCCTCCACCCACTAACACGCCAACCTAACTGTGGGTCCTGACAACCCCGTAAGTCCCCAGGCATTTGGGGTGTGACACCCACTATCTAGCCTGCTACCTGCCAGTCAGGGAGCTGGGGCGACCTCTCCTCACTGGCCAAGTGCTGTAAAGACTCACTCAGGAAGAGGAGGGAGGGGACATCCGATACCCCACAGATCCTCTCTTTCTGTGTCCTTTGCCTTGTTTTACGCCTTTGGAGGCTGCCAGCCTGGGGCCAGCTCGGACTCGGGCTGGTGAGCGTGGCTCACCACACACCTTCCTTGAAGGCCTCATGCTCCCAGGCAGAGCTGTAGAGGTCACCAGGCTCTGGTGGGGTGCCTGGAGGCTGTCCTGAAACTGGAATGGTACTCAAGTTGGCAGGGCCCCTTTCAGGAACTGGTCACTCTAAGCAACTTGAGAAAGAATGTCCGTGTTCACAACAAGGGACGGCCATGCTCCGCTCGCTCCACCTGCTCAAGGGACAGATGCTTGTGTTGGGGAGAGGTGGCTGGGAGGAGGCAAGGCCCTCCCTGGGCCGGGCGGCATAGCCACCCTCCTGGGAGGGGCTGATGTAGCGGGGCTCCGGGGGTCCTGAGCAGAGCAGAAGGATCCTGGCTTCCCAAGCCTTAGAGGAGCAGTTTCCCATTCCGATGGATCTTCAAGATCTTTCCAAGCCTTTGCTTGGCGGTGGCCATGCCCTTTTTTGTACGTTTTCCTGCAGAGGTGAGGAGAGATTTAAAAAAAATCAAGAGTGATAGCTAGAAAAGAAGGGGACCCCACAGGCCCCCTAAGCCCCACCCATCTCTATAAAATCAGCCAGCTAGGCTAGAAAAGAATGGGACCCCACAGGCCCCCTAAGCCCCACCCATCTCTATAAAAATCAGCCAGCTAGGCTAGAAAAGAAGGGGACCCCACAGGCCCCCTAAGCCCCACCCATCTCTATAAAATCAGCCAGCTAGGCTGGAAAAGAATGGGACTCCACAGGCCCCCTAAGCCCCACCCATCTCTATAAAATCAGCCAGCTAGGCTGGAAAAGAATGGGACCCCACAGGCCCCCTAAGCCCCACCCATCTCTATAAAATCAGCCAGCTAGGCTGGAAAAGAATGGGACCCCACAGGCCCCCTAAGCCCCACCCATCTCTATAAAATCAGCCAGCTAGGCTGGGCCCTGGGCTCAGAAGTCCTTCGTGGAGCCAAAGCGCTTGGAGGTACAGAGACCATTGTGGACTTGGTTCAGGATGGTATGGCTAGGATGTGAGGCCACCCTGGGCCCCACGCCCTGGTAACAGGGCCATCTCAAATGCCACCAGTAAGTAACACTGTCACCAAACTCTGGCCATTAGGCCCAGGCTGGAATGAAAGAGGCTACAACAGGGGTACCACAAGGCCTGGCTGGTATGACACTAACCCACAGAGGGGCTCAACCCCCAAGCCTGGCTCACATCACACCCGAGCTTCACCTGTGGCAAATGGCTGACCATATGCCTATCAAGAGTCCTGAGCTGAGGACTAGTTCTGAAGTTTGCAATCACTGAACCCTGCTCAGGCCGCGTCTCCTGACTGTAGCCTATTTCTTTCACATGACTGAGTAGGCCAGCAGCAACCGCTGTGTGAAGGGCGGGGGCCATACAGAAGTATGGACACAACTGTCTCAGATGCCCAGCCCCTGCCTTCCCGAGGCCAGAATTCCCTTGCAGTGTGCTTCCTAAGGGCAGGGGCAGACAGGACAAAGGGGTACCTTTGGCAGCAGTGTTGTTGGGGGATGATGCAGAAGGCCGCCTCTGTGTGAGAAAGACTCCAGGGGCCATGGGCTGGGAGGCACGGCCAGCCTGGGCCCCTGCGAACGTGCCGGCTGCTGTATATTCATGGTCAGCCAGGCTACTGCTGTGGGACTCGGGCGGGGGCTCGGGTGAGCTGCCCTCCTGTGAGGCCTGGCTGCTGGCTGTGCTGGTGGAGGCCGGGGTGGTGGAGGCCGGGGTGGTGGAGGCCGGGGTGGTGGAGGCCGGGGTGGTGGAGGCCGGGGTGGTGGAGGCCGGAGTGGTGGAGGCCGGAGTGGTGGAGGCCGGGGTGGTGGAGGCCGGGGTGGTACCCGTGGAGGTGGACGCGGAGGTGGAGGGGGAGATGGAGGGGGAGGCAGTGGTAGGAGTCGGCTTCCTTTTGGTGTTCTTCTTCTTCCTGTTTTTCTGCTCCTCCTAGGAACAAAGTGTGGGAGTGTGCTGCCCGCTGGCTGCCTCAGGTAACCACAGTGGGGCGCAGCCAGCTCAGCCTCCACCCAGAAGCAGGCTTAAGGGGCTCCGACCTCCACCAGGTAGGGAGCACCGAGGAGAGCGGCTGGGGGGCCTCTCCCACCAAGCCCAAGGCAGAAAGTCTGGCCCAGGGGAGCCCACTGTGAGTACTACCAAGAGACGGCCAATCAGATGAGAGGAGCAGGTGGAGACAGGCCCCAGCTCCTGCCTGTGGGCACCGCTTAAAAGTACCGGGACCCTTGGGAATGGAAGGGGTCCCCAGAGGCATTTAGTGAGGGCGTCCTGGGCACCAGAGAGCAACCATATTTTAGTGAGAGGTGCCTGTCTGGAGTAAGGGGCTGTGTTCCAGGCTCCCCGGTACCTGCTCAGAATCTGGAACCACTCTCCTGCCTGCCAGTCCCCAGCCCTGGCAGTCTCCACACAGGGGCAGAGGCTGGAGACCAGCTTAACTTCACACAATAGAGACTTACTCTTGGAAGAGCCCTCACTCTCCTCACCTGCTGGGACAGCTTGGCTGCAGCAGCTGCCAGCCCAGTCTCAATGGAGGCCACTCTGGTCCCCTCACGCACAGGCCTGTCCTGTCTTGGCACCGATGGGCCGACCCTGGCTGTGGATGACAAGGGGGAAGGCCAACCAATTAGGCTCTGGAAGTGGTGGCCTGTCAGCCCCCGACCGTCTTTGATTCTGAAGGACCACAAGCATCTTAACTTGCTGCATGGGAAGCTATGTCACATCCTCTCCCCCCCGGGATGGTGTCATGCTGAGGTATCTATGAGCCAGTGTAGGAGGCCCAGCACACCCGGCAGGGGAAGCCAGGTAGATGGGTGACCTTAAAAGGTGAACATGCCTGATCCCACCCGCCACCCCAGCAGTTGTCTGGTGCCCCTTCTAGATGTTCTAACCGAGGGTGCTGGAGAGGAGGGGCCCAAGTAGGGAGGTTCGAGAGTAAGGTCTAGGCTCAGAGGTTCCAACACACAAAGCAGAGGCCCAGTCGGGGCCCAATGGGGAACTGACCAATCTCCCCTGGGCACGCCTAGAGCCATGCCTATGCCCTCGGTGGCCACGTGTCAGCCCCCAGCCCAGCTCTACCTGTGGGGCTGTAGGGGGCATCATCCGAGCCCTTCCTCTTCTTGGACCGGGACTTGAAGACAGGGTTATCTTCGTCAGACTCCAGTGAGGGGTAAACTAAAGGAGGCAAGAGGAGAGCAGGCCCCTGAGTGCTTGGGTGCAGCCAGGGCTGGGAAGGGGCTGGTGCCACAGAGGCCCAGGGCCCTTCCCGAGCGGTGGCTCCAGATCTGCCCTTAGATTCTCAGACTGGCTGTGTAACTGGAGCTTCCACAGCAAGGGCACCTACGCCTTGCAGGAGCACGTGTGTACAGGCTGCCAGCCACACCCACCCTAGGCTGGCCTGGTGCCCGAAAGCCCTCAGTCACTTGGGAGCGCTCTTCACAGCTGCTTCAGGAGCCGGAGACATGCGGTCCTTCTGGAGGCTGCTACAGTGGGGAGTGAGAAACTGAGGCAACTAGGCTAATCCCACCATGGCCGATGCCCCAAGGCCCTCCTAGCAGACTGGGAGAAGGAACCCGCCTAGTAGTTTACACGGCCATTGGGGAGCTTCCCTGGCTCAGGGGCACCCTGACCAATGAGGACAATTGAGACACCTTCAATACTGGTGATTCTGTAGGTGGCAGTAGGGCCCAGCACTCCACACCCCCAAAGGGAGTAGAGGCAGGAGTTGACTTTGCCGCTGGTCCGTCTATCAGAGTAGAGCGCACACACACCACGGGGCCTGGGTCTGCAGCAGCTGCAGGGCAGAGCCCTATCTCAGGAGCTCTCACAGGGGCCTAGATCAGTCAACCCCAGCCTCTGGCCACCAGGAAGGCACTGGACTAAACCCACGTCAGCCCTGGGGATGAGGAGGCCGGAGCAGCAACCCTGCTGCAATGTTCCCTGGGGTGAAGAAATCAGGTGCCTAAGTCAGGCAGATTCTACCTGGTGGCTGTGCCCATGGCAGGAGGCCAGAGACTTGTGGGTTTCTGACCCTCTCAAATGGCTGCAGGGTCATCCTTGGGCCTCGGTATTTCTGGCAGGGCCCTCTCAGAAACACAGCAAAGGGACGAGGGAACAGGCCCCAAGAGGAGCCTGTACCCACATGTCCACAGCAGCCAAAAGAAGAGGCCGAGGGCCCAGGGATGAGTGTATGCATGGACTTGTAGTACACTTCCTACACAGAGGAAAGAACATTACACAGTCTGCAAAAGGAAGGAATTCTGGCACATGCCACAGTATGCATGGACCCACAAAGTGTCATGTTACACGATCCATTTATAGATGATGTGTCTAAAACAGATCCGCAGAGCCCTGAAGAACATGACAAGTGGCCAGGGCTGGGGGAGGGGTGAACAGGGAAGTCATTCTGAAATGGACCATGGCTGTAATTACCCAGGCCACCAAAGGGTCATGCTTTGTTTTGTTTGAGACAGGGTCTTACTGTGTAGCCTTGGCTAGCTTGGAATTCACTACATAGACCAGGCTGGCCCAGAGCACAGAGCTCTGCCTTGTCTGTGTCTCCAGGGTTCTGGAACTAAAGGCATGCACCACCACAGCCCAGCCCATTTTTTTACAGTCTGGGCTTTGTATCATGGGCCTCCTTGACCTGCTCCTAGACAGTGCTGCCGCCTACTGGCAGCATCCCTGCCCTGCAGCACACCCACCATAGTCTGAGTCCTTGAAGCAGGCGTCCAGGTGGTCCTGCTCCTCGTAGTCCTCCAGGTCCACACTGTTCTTGGCAGTCCTCTTCAGCAGGCGCTTGCCCGTGCCTTTGCTGCCACCACCATTCTTCCGGGCGCCATGGGCTGCCAGGGAACCACCCTTGGCCTGGCCGGTGCCCCATGTGGTCTGCAGGCAGGAGTCAGAGGCCTGTAGGTTGGCCATGGACAGCATTCCCTGAATGGCTTCCTGTGTACTGGGGGAGGCAGGGGGCTGGCTGGGGACACAGAGAGACAACAGGCACTCAGCCATGGCCCTTGGCCCACAGCCCAGGACATCTGGATCACAGACTAGAGCCTGTAGCCCACCATTCACAATTTGTAGTTCAAGGTGCTGTAACTGTAGCCCAGAGCCCAGGGTTGCACACACACCTGGTGTGACAACCAGCAGATGACACACTAACATGCATGGGCTGGTGACTTAGCCATGGGAAAGGCTTGGCCAGCCCCTCTGTCCACTCAGCCACACTGCGGGGAGAGAAAGAGGCCTTGGGATGGAGATGGGACGCAGGCAAATGCGCAGGAGGTGGACGCATGAGCCCTTACATCGCCATACACTGGCTCTCAGAGCCTGAGTTGGCCAGAGGCTCAGCTCTCCGACTCCTACACCCTGCCAGCTCTCTGCCCTTTCGTGGCTGACCCTGACCTCAGTCCCAGCCAGGGACATTCCTTCTCCTCACTCCTACACTGACATGGACAAGTTCTCATTTCTCTCCCACAACACTCTGTCCCACGGTGATCCATGCCCAAGTACGAATCCACACCCTCACCGACACCTATGCCCTCACCCACACCGGCACCCACACCCCTATATACCTGCACCCCACCCTCATCTATACCTACACACTCATTTACATCTGAACGACACCTCCATCAACACCTGCACACTGCCCTCATCTACACTTGTACTCAGCCCTGCACCCTCACCATGTACACCTGTATGCACGCCCATATCTACATCTGTGACAATACACTTCTCCGTTAGGCACAGCCACGCCTCAGCTCAGCCAGGATTCTCTCTGTGTCCCTCCATGAAGACTTGCAAGCTTTCTCTTGAACCCAGTCTTCCTCTCTTCTAGCCTGCAGGACTGCCCCCGGGGTTCCATCTTCATCCTGCCGACTCCTTGTTTCCTTCTCTACTGGGCTGCACTGGTGCCCTGCCTTCCAAAAAGAGCATCCCAACCTAGGTTCAGGGCACAGTGCTCATCGTTATCCCATAGACCTGAGGGCTGGCTGCTGCCAGACTGCAAAGACTCTTGGGGCTAGGTTGGGGCAGTTCCTGGGTGGTCTCCACAGGCTCAGTAAGACCTTCCACAGGATCTAGCTCCTGCTTCCTCAGTGCCCTGTGCTGGCACAGCCTGCTCACCCCCTCCAGCCTAGACTTCCCTCCTGTCTAAGCTACAGCCACCTATGTAGTAAGAGGCTTTTTCTCTTTTTGGGGGGCCCTCCACCCAGCTGCCAAATGAATCACACATGGAGGCTCATTCTTAGTTATGAATGCCCGGCCTTAGCTTGGCTTGTTTCTTGCCAGCTTTCCTTAACTTAGATTATTCCGTCTACCTTTTGCCTCTAGGTTTTTCCTGTTCTCTTATTCCAAGGACTGCTGTGTGGCTGGGTGGCTGATCCCTGACGTCCTCTCCTGTTCTCCTGCTGCTGCTTCTTTCTTGTTCCTCCTGCTATTTCTCCTCTCTGCCGGCCAGCCCTGTCTATCTTTGCTCCTGCCTTGCTATCAGCTGTTCAGCCCTTCATTAGGTAGACCACCAGGTGTTTTAGACAGGCACAGTAGCACAGCTTCACAGAGTTAAACAAATGCAGCATAAACAAAAGTCCCATGCCTGAAAATAATGCCCCCCCACACACCTGGATAGCTTTAAAATTGCCCACACCTACTCCCTGCCAGGAGAGTCCAGGTCAGGGTCTCACACAAAGTCCAAATGTCCACATGATGGCCAGGCAAAGAGCCACACTTCCCATGGCTCCATGATGACCTGGCCCAGTGGGAGTTTCCTCTGGGGATTTTCTGGTACTTAGTCTAGCTCAGCAGCCCTGTAGCTGAGCCCCGCATAGAAAGAATGGCTTACTCCAGCTGGTGAAGAAAGACTGTACCAGCACCAGGGGTACCGGCTACATCAGCCACCTACGCAGTCCAGCATGGTCCACACTAGAGGCACGTAAGATCCCACTGTCCCCACCCTGCACTTTTTGGTCCCTTTTCTCCTGAGACTCTTGCATCAAAGTCCGTGTGCCTCCAGTTTCTCCCTTGCATATCTGGGAACCACGTCCAAGTTTTTGGAGCACCTTTAGAAAGAGTTTTGCAGGAGCAGCACCCCAGCCTCTGAGAAGACGGTGTGCTAGGGGATGATCGCACGGCAAGTCCAGGGCCCGAGTGGTGATGAGTGACAATGAGAGCGCACAGCAGTGTGCAGCCAGGGGCCCCTCCATGCTTCCTTCCACTTGCTCAAGATGACGCACATGTGAGGCAGAGGTGGGCAGACCACCCAGGCAGAAGCTCTAGCAGGGACCTAGAAAAGCCACTGCTCAGAAGCACAAGGATTCTAGAGACAAAGGCTCTAAAGGGGGGGATCAGAGAGATGGAACAGTCCCACTGGGGCTGGACAGGCAAGATTGGACAAAAGCTATCTCCTAGGCTAATGCCCCGAGGACCGAGGGACATTTCCTGAGCCCGAGGAGGAGAGGGAAGCCACTGTCCCCACAACCCTCTACAAAAGCTGCCTCCTAGACTGAAGTCATGATGGAAGACCAAGTCGCATAGACCTGAGTTCTGCAGAAAGCAATGCTGGAGCCACCCCGTAAAGCCTGCCCTGCCCTGTGCAGATGCCTGGGCTGTTTCGTAGGCCAGAAGCTGCCCTGGAACTGTGCAGCCGTGCCTGTCTCATGGACTTCTCTGAGCAGCACAACAGATAGATCACCTTATACTCTCTGGGCGCCAAACCCTAAACGCAAGTCACAGGGAAATACCAAGACATCTACCGTGAGTGTCCTAAATACTGATGGCAGGACCCCACTGAGAGCCCACTTAGACATGCGCTGCCAACCCTTGCCATCTGGGTGACTCCAGACCCAGCTGGCCTGTCTATCTGCAAGGTTGCTGGAGAATCAATGATCAGAGTTTAACCAGTCAGCATGGAAAATAATACTTTAATCCCCCAATTACCATGCCCAAATCCCCTCCTTTGCCCATAGCGGTAAACACCAAGCAAACCATCCACAAGAAATTAACATATTTTCTTCAGCTTTTTTTTTCTCTCCAAACAGTCAGTACTTAAAACAGAGCAAATGGACCATCAAAAACTGACCTATGCTCCAAATGGGAGACTTTGGGAGAGGAACTGCCCGCGGCAGGCTGAGCGGGCTGGCTGGCCTCTGAGGCTCCGGCAGGCACAGCAGGCACGTGTGCGAGGACACATGGGTGTCTGCGGAGCACTCTCCCCAGACTTGGGGCACAGGGCCATGGCAGCTCTGGTTTCTCATTAGCAGACATCCCCCTCCTGGCCTCATAGATAAGGGCTCACAGGGCCCCATCTGTGTTCCATCTCCATGCCACCCAGAGTTCCCTCTCCACAGCACCCATATCGAGGTACCTGATGACTAAGAGCAAGGCCCTGTCTACCCTCATCCTGGGCGGTGCTGGGTTCATCCCCATGTTCCAGTTTCCTAAGCCTTTCCATTGAGGGTATGGGGTGAGGGGAGCCTCTCTAACCTCGAGAGCAATCATTGAAGTGTTAGCGAGCACATACTTCCTCCCACCATAGACTATGTGAAATCCTGCACAGGGCCTCAGTCTGGAATGTGGAGGGGCTGTCACCTCCAACAGGGAAGAGGCCACACCCGGGCTTCACCAATGAGGGCCAGCAGGCCTCTCGCTGCATCATGCCAGGCTGAGCCAGGATCCTGAGCCCAAAGCCATGCATACCGCTCCCTTCACGCTTCTCTCCCACTAGGAAAGAGCCTGAGGCTGGCTGGCTGTGAATATGATATTGCATTCAAAACAGCAATCTATGAAATAAAATATGGCCAACTCATTTAGCAACAGCTTGTTTCAATCAAGCCCTTAATTCACCTTACCGGGATCGTCGTGCCATCTACAAGGAGGCCTGACCCAGTCCTCCTCTTGACAGAGCAGCCTTAGAGCCAGTGTGAGCCGTTGCCCAAAGCAGTCATCTAAAAATTACTCAGGCACCCAAGAGGGCCTATGGGACTCGCCTTCCTGAATATGAGGGACCATGAGGGACTGGCACGCACCAGTAGACATAGCCCAGCACCCAACAACTCTTTAGCAACCCCAAGTTGGGCTCCTGAGTCAGGTCAATCCAGTGTTGTGGAATTAAGATGTGTTACATTTGTTTGTGCTGTGGAGCATTTGTTTAATGATGTAAAGATGTGTTGCAGTTTTTTTCTGTTGCATTTGTTTAACTCTGTATAGCCTCCCTAAAACACCCGATTGGTCTAATAAAGAGCTAAATGGCCAATAGCTGGGGAGGAAAGAGAAATAGATGGGACTACCAGGCAGAGAATAAATAGGAGGAGAAATCTAGGGTAAAAAACAGAAGAGAGGAATGAGAGGAGAAGGAGGGAAGATTCCACGGGTCAGCCACCCACCCAGCCACACATCCAGCCATGGAGTAACACGGAAGAAAAGATATGTAGAATAAAGAAAGGTAAAAAAGTCCAGAGGCAAAATGTAGTTAAAGAGAAATGGGATAATTTAAGTTAGAAAGCTTGGCTAAACCCAAGCCAAGATAAGGCCAGGCCTTCATAACTAAGAACAAGTCTCCATGTATTGGTTTGGGAGCTGGATGGCAGGCCTCCAAAGAGTAAAAACACCAAGTACAATGCAGAGCCTGGGCCTGCCTCTGCCGCCTCCAAGCTGTGGGACCATGAGAAGGCTAGTTCCTTGAACCCAGTTTCCTCAACTATATACAGTTGGAGTCCAAAGCTGCCATGAGACTAGGGGGTTGGAAGGAACTGCTGTTCCGTGTGTTAGGGAGAGCAGGCTGTGCTCCCTCAGTCACCTGTCAGTGTCACACCTGGGAATGCCACTAAAGTTTCAATGGGAAATAAACAACCATCAAGTGCTTAAAACCCAAATCAACAACGTGTGAATTGAGTGAAATGAAGCCTAGCCTGGCTGCTCCACAAGCCCAGCTCTCTACAACCAGCTCTCTGAGCGCTAGAGGATGCAGCCAGGGCCCACCTGTTGGGGTTGTACTCGAGGGCCCCGACCTCCTCGCTGGCCTGCAGCAGGTCCAGGATGCCTGCCGCAGAGCTCCCGCTCTCCTTCTTGACTTTGGCGTTGCGGCCTGGCTTGGTGTCCGTGTCGATGTGCAAAGAGCCCTCCTCAGAGGAGTCGTCACTCTGCGGAGCCAGGGACAGAGCAGCAGTCAGGGCAGGGCACTGGGGGTTGGGGTTTTAAGGAGCTCTGTTCTAACCATAGTCTCGGGCTCATGCAACGGCTGAGACCCCCATGAGTCAGGCGTGGGTGCCAAGTCTCTCCTAGGGTTAAAGTTGTCTTCACACCCTATACTGCTTTTCCAGAGGAAGCCCCAGAATTCCATCAGGACACAGTGACTAAAACCCTCTGGCCTGGATAAGCTTACTCCAGCATGTGGTCCATGTTCTTTCTGGGCTCCCCCAAGAAACATGGGGCCTCAGCAATAACCCTTTTCCCCTAGAAAGCCAGCCTTGGAGTTCATCAGAGTGTAAGAGCCCTGTTGGCGAGGAACCACTCCCTGTCACCCCTTTTCCTGGGGACACGCTTTGCTGCATTTCTCTCCCAGGAAGCAGGCCCAAGGGGGCAGCTAGCCCTGGTGCCAAGGACTGAGCAAGACCTTGTCCTTCCTGTGCCAACCCCAGAGCTGAGCCCAGTCCATGGACAGGGTGAGGGTGACGCCCTTGCACATCAAGCAGGGCGTGCTGCAGAGGCTGAGGGCGCGGCTGCGTGGCTCACCTTGTATACCGCAGAGTCCAGCTTTGGCTTTGCGGCGGGCATGAGGAGCGCCTCCTTCTTGTCCAACAAGACTGAAAGCACAGCAGACAGGAGTCAAGTGGAGGCCTCCAGGGAGTTAGCCAAGACCACCTGGAACCTCCTGCCCAGGCCCAGCACACTCACAGGACAAGTCCCTTTTGGGGGCACTCTTCTTCCTCCGGATGGGAAACTCATCTATCTTCAGCTCCCCATCATCCGATACATACTCATATTCGTCACGCACGGGCTTGGCCTTGTCCTCCTTGAAGCTATGCAGGGTCCCAAACACACCAGGGCTGCTCGGGGGCCTGAGGGCCTTGGAGCTAGAGTAGAAGGGATAGGTCAGTGGGTGACCCCAGGGCCCTGAGGCCAGCAGGCACCAGAACCTTACAGGGGCCTGAAAGAAAGCATCCACTTGGAAGGCAAGCAACTGGTCGGGGAATATGCAACCCTTAGTTTCCACTGTGGGAAGTCTACTCATGGGCGGGGACATGGCCCAATCCTACAGCCTCCTCCTCCTCACCATGTCACCTGGTATGAGACCCAGGATACACAGTCAAGTGCTGCAGAGAAAGACTAAGCAACTGAAGAACCCTCCTTGCCAGAGTTTAAACCACATCCAGCCCCTGTGTCTTGTTCTACATACTTATGTTTGAAAAAACAAAACAGCTCTACAGGGCTGAGCCACAGCACACCTCCACTGGGTTATGAAATATTGTGTATCTCTCTTCCTGCTATGGCAAGGCAGGGTGCTGTGTTTTCCCCATGAGTAGATCAGGCTTGGACCTCTCTGGGCCTTCAGGACAGACTTTCTCAGTAGGAAGGACAGCAAGCTAAACAGAATGCTGACCACGCTGACAGCACACCAGGCCACAGGAGCCTCCAGTATCTTCATGGAAGGCTCTCGTTCCGCTGTCTTAAAACACAGACCACCACACCTGTGCGCATGTGTATACATATGGCTCTAGAGGCTCGTCTATCGTATTTACATATCCTAAACTACATGGCCCTGCCATAGAACTGATGTCACTGGAAAGCTTCTCTGGGACCCACGAGTGACACCTCTAATGAAATGACAGAAGCAGACTCATCAAATCAAGCCTGTGTGGGTTTCAGTCCACGTAGCTGTGAGCACTTCCACTTGGCCCCAGCCCTGTTTCTCCATCACCCACAGGCTCTTCCCTCCCTCTCAGAAGAGGAAGCAGAGGCTGCTATTCCTGCAGGCCATGAGGATCCTCAGCAGGATACGCTTGCCACCCTACACTGTGTGGGGATTATGGATGCCACACAGGTGCCTGTGAGGTCTCTCTTCCTGCCCACAACTGAAACCGAGGCCTCAGTGGCCATGCTGAGGCTCACCCGGCTCCGAAGCTGGTGCCTTCCCGAGACACATCTCCCGAGACCCTCAGCACCCAGATCCACACATCCCTCCCGGGGCTCCATCACAGCCATAGGCTTGAGTGGAGTCATGCATTCACTGTTTGTGCTGTCCTTCCCTACTGGCCACTGGGCCAGAGACCTGCGCCCCAATCCCTACTCATAGCAGCCAGGGCCCTGCTGCCTCGTGGCCCTCACGACAGCTGTGTTCTCTGTGTACCCTGCAGATTGTTCGGGAAGCAGAAGCAAAGGTGCTCCTTGCAATAGAGTGCAGTGAGGGAGGTCAGACAGCCACTCTAGAATGTCAACCAACGTGTGTGTGTGTGTGTGTGTGTGTGTGTGTGTGTGTGTGTGTATGTGTGTGTGTGTGTGAGATGTGAAAGGTGTATGTAGTATGAGGCATGTATGGTGTATAGAATGTGCGATGTCTGTGGGATGACTGTATTACTTACATATGTATGGAATGGATATGCAATGAGGGTATATAAATGTCTGTACATGTATGTGTGTGGGGGGATGCATGTCTGGAAAGGATAGCATTGGTGCATGTGGTATCATATATACATGTGAGTGCATGGTATGAAAGTACAGTTTGGAGTGTCCACTGGAGTGTGCATGTGACAGATGAGTCTATTGGAGGTGATGTGGGTGCCTACGTGGCACAGGATGATGCACAGTATCTGTTATGTGTGGAATGGAGTGTGTGCAGTGTGGCGACATGCATGTAACGCAGGACATCTGTGCATTCACCCTACCCTACCCAGGCTCTCACATACCCCAGAAGTTTTCTGTTGGAGAAAGAAAAGGAGAACTTGTCCTTGTTCCCAGCCAGGGGTGACTTCTCCAACCTCTGCTCCTCCTCCATTTTCAGTAAAGAGTCAGGTTTGCTGTTCTGAAAGCAAGAGCAAGGTTGTCCCTGAGTTCACTGGGGTGAGGGTTAGGATCCCAATCCATGTTAGTAGGTATAACTAGGGACCAGAACATGCCCAAGAAAGCTGTTCATAAATGCGAAGGCTGGCCTAGCTAGCCATCAGCATGCAGGACCCACCCTGGGATGCTGCCCAGCTTCAGGGAATGGAAACAGACCAGAAATGGGACCATGAAGAAGGTGAAAGATAGTGGAGGACAACATGGAGAAGATGACATATTCGGTATTATACCCACACTGTCTACAGAGGGTGGTTCATAGGAGGTCAGCGCACTCTAGACTCACAGACTTTCCTCAAGCCCCACCTCCTGGGGACAGGCAGACACACCCTACCACAGGTCTGCACCCCACCCTCACCTTGTACTTCCACTTGGCCTCTGATTTACTCTTAGTTTGCTCTCGGATTTCCAGCCTTTCCACGTCATTCTGTGCGTGGACTGTGTCCTTGTTGGGAACACTCAGGACACTCTTTGGGGTCTGCAAACAGAGCAGTGATGACCCAAAGACAGAGACAATAAATAGGCTTGGGTTAAGATGGCACAGAAGCACGGTGGCCCACTCCTGCTGGTCCACACATAGCACGTCCATCCGTCCGTCCGTCCATCCATCCATTCCTTCATCTGTTCATTTAGCCTTTCACTTCTCTCCAGCAATCCACCTACCTATCCGCCCCTCAACCATCTGTTCACCCATTTACCCACCTATCCATCTGTCCATCCATCCACTGCCCATCAGTTGACCCACCCATACATCCATCCTTCTCTCCCTCCTTCCCTCCCTCCTTGCCCTAGAAGAGCAGCACCAATGGAATATTACATGCCCCCAAGATGTAGGAGAGCCATGTACGCGTCCTGGAAGGATCTCACAGCCAGTCTATAATCTCATGGGTTCAATAAGACCCTTTAGTGTCCACATGGGCTCAGGCCCTCATAATAATCCCTTCTCCCACTGTCCTCTTTGAACAGATGCCTTATATATCTGCAGGGCCTTAGGCAGGGACTGGTTCTATTACTTGAAAAACCTAAGCAGGGTGGTGTCTGCCTGAAGTCCACCCTGTATCAATCCTGCGGGCCTCCTGGGTGCCCCCCCTGCCACAGTACAAACGTGCTGTGCTCTCTCCATTGGGCCCCCACTGCTCTGCAGGATGGACCTGGGGTTTTGGCTGGATGCGCAGGCCCAGTGGCACAGACAGGGACATGCTTTGGGCAGATTTATCTATAGGCAGACCCTGGATCCTGCACTCTCTGGATACTGTACCGGACAGATGGTCTCCCCTCCCCACCCAGTAACAAAGGAGAGCAAAGACATGTCAACCCTAGCTGTTCCCTCTGGTCTGGCCCGGCAGGGGCTGCAGTGCCTGAGCCTGTGATGGGGAGGAGCTCAAGGACCCACCTTTCCTTTCTTGGGTGGCTCCATCTTGGTCAGCGCCTCCTTTGTGTGGGCCTCGAGCAGGTCCAGGTTGGGGATGGTGGGCGAGGCCGACTCCCTGTTCTTCTTCCCTTTCTTCTTGCTTCCATCCTTGAGCTTCAGGGTTTTGGGGGGCTTGGGGGGTTTGGGGGGCTTGGGGATTTTGGATGGCTTGGGCATCTTCACAGTCTTAGGAGTCTTTTTTTTGGACACTTTCTCCAGGAGGGATCGAGGTGGGGTAGCCTCAATAGGAGATGGTGGTTCCTCCTTCTCCCGGTCCCCGTCACAGACCTCATCTGAGGAGGCGACAGCATTTACTTCAGGTCGGACAGTTTTGGAGGCGTTCTGGTGTGGGAAAAGGAGAGGATCATTTGTGTTTCCTCTAGACCATGCCAGGTCTCAGGGGGACTCATAGCCATGTGTGTGCCCAGAAAGGCGCACACAGCCCCACACCATGTGACACATTTATATCTGCTCTGCATTGTCAGAAGAACTGGGACTCAAAGACTGGACTCGGGATTCTCCACCCTTCTCTCCCTTCATCTCTTCTCCCCACGCACTGTCCATACCCTGGGCACAACGCTAATGCAGAGGAATTTCCATGGCAGGCTCTGGGCCCTCGTCCCTGGGGTCTGTCACCCTGGCATGACCTTACCTCGCTGAGCCTGATCTCTTTGGCTAGGTCCTTGATGAGCTGTGAGGGCCTGAAGTGCTCCGGGAGCTCGTCCTCGTGCTCTGCCAAAGCCTGTGGAACAGTGGGGTCAGTGCCAACTTGGCCACTTTGGCGCCTCAGCCATCCCCTGTCCACCAGGCAGGGCCAGGGCCATCCCGTGGGGTGCGAGGCCGCCATGGAGCAAGGCCTGCTGCCCGAGATGCTGGGGCCCTGCCCAGTAAGGCAGCAGCTCTCTGTGAGCCACTTCTGTGGTGGGAAAATGCATCAGGCCTGGGCCTTGCCTGACGCCACCATCAGCTAGCTGGCAGGCAGCAGAGTGGATGTGGTACAGTCTCTTCATGGTCATGCAGTTAGGGTGAGGTGGGCGGGACCCCTGGACTGTCCCAGCTCTGAGTCTCAAGAAGATGGTAGCTGTAGGATGACCCCAGAAAACACTGGCAACCCGCCCACCAGGCCCACACATGGAGGGAAACAGGCCATGGGCATGGTTCCCTACCTGGCCTCTGTCTCAGTGCCCTCTGAGATACCCCCCCAACTTTTCTCTCTGACCTAGAAAGAGGGACTCCTTGTTCTTCAAGTAGCAGGTGGGCAGGAGCTCTGAATAGCCAGAGTCCCCAGTAGAAGACAATATCACAGACCATTTCCCCTTCTATAGCTACAACCCAGGCAAGAGAGAAATGGAGAGCTGGCGTCCTTGTGGCCTTTGACCGAGGGACTGGAGGAAACCAGTGCACAGGATCACAGGAGAGGACGAGGAGGGATAGGGATCCCCAGGTTACAAAGCAAGTTAGCTAGGAGGCTACATTCACGCCCGGCTGTGTGGCTGCTGAGGGGCAGGAGCCACGAGTGCATCCCTAGTACTTCCTGTTCCAATCCAGATGTGTGGTCAAAGCACCAGCTGCTTCCTGGGGCCCTCCCTGCCCTTTCCAGGGTAACGGAAAGTTGTCCTTGCCCAAACTCCTGAGGGAATCTAGCCCTGGGACCAATGACCCCAGGCTGGCCCAGACAACCTACACCTGTCCAACACACCCCTCAAGGAATAGTGGTTAGTGTTAGCAGGCCAGCTTAGGCCAGCCTGGGGAGACAGTGCCACTACTTGTTCCCTAGGACACACCCTTGTATCTCCCCCGCCCATTCCCTGTTCCTACCTGCTTCTTCGTCCATGACCTAAAAGCACCATTGAGAATTTTAGCTCCTTGAACTAAGTGTGGGGGTAGCTGTTTCCCAGACTTGTGAGAACCTGGGAAGGACACAATAGGTTAGTGTGGTGACTGCTCAGCCTGTCCCAGCAAGAGGCCCCTGCCCCAGGCCACTCGTCCAACTGCCAACGGTTCTCCTTGGAATCTGGGGTGCCTGCCCACCTGGCACTGCCCCGCAGGGCAATGATTTACCTTCCATCTCCTCCCATCTCACACGAAGCCTACCCAAGAGGGCCATGGGCAGGCCGCGTCTCTTTCCCCTCTCTGCCCTGTCTTGTGGGTAGGAGCTTACACCAAACCCCCAGACACCCTCTTATCTTATGTCCTAAAGGGTCATGACCCAGCCTCACAAAGGGCCAAGATGTCCCTAAGGCCAGGGCTGCAGGCTCAATTACCCACGCTGGAGTGACAGGTACCTTTGAATGCTTCCAATAGGTGCTTCCCCATGTACCAGCAGGCAGTTTCAAAGTTGGGAAACTGAGTCAGGCTGCCTAGTTTTAACCTTCTTTCCACCTCATATGCCCTGGAGACCACAGAAAAGAACTAATGAGTGCAGGGAGCATCAAGCAGGCCACGCCACAGGGAGAAGCCAGGGTACTGAGTCACCTCAGGCTCCCCCACTGGGGCCAAAGTGACCCAAAGTGACGGCCACCGTGGGTGGGAGCAGTGGGCTGTGGTTACTAGAGAGGCTGGCCATACTCCAAGAAAGATGTCAGCAGCCTTCACGATGCCAAACCACCACTAGGCTTGCCCTTGCCCAGACCAATGAACCCATTCCTCCTTCCCCTTAGCACAGAGATGTCAGCATAGCAACCCTCGGGCTGGGCCCAGCCAGGAGCATGGCATGGTACCCATTGGGTCACCTGGTCCAATGGTTGACAGCATGGCAGGAGCTCCCTACCTCATCTGCATCTCCACACTGAGGCTGTGGAGGAAATGTCCAGAGAAGGCCAGGCAGTCCACGGGGGTGAGTGTGGCGTATATCCAGCCTGGGAGAGACATGAGAGCTGTGGCTATGACCATCTTCCCCTCCCCCACTCACCATGAACTCCAGCTCCCACCATCCATCCCAGGCCTTGCCTCATTGTTCCTCCCTGCTCGAGCCAGGTAGGAACCTCTGAGGAAGATGGAGGAGGGAGTGTGTCTGAGGTAACACGGGTTGTTGAACACCCTGGTACCAGACAGACAGAAGCTGAGGCCTAGGAGCCAAGGAGACATGGTCAGGACAGCCCTGGGCAGCCCTGCTGTCAGGAGAGGAAGCCCACACAGGGGTGAGAAGAGACAGAGCTGGAGCTGTCACTCTCCCTGGAGGCTGAGATTTGTCTCCAGGTCATTCCAGGAGATGGGGCTGGGGCCAGAATCTAGAGAACTATTAATGGCTACCAAAGTAAGTGTGAGGGTGCCTTTGGGGAAGCGGAGGCCATGGAGCCAGAGCCAGAGGCTGAGTTCAGTCAGGTTCTGGGGCCCCCTTTGGGTCCTGATGTTAAGCAAAACCATAAACATAATCACCAGGAACCCTGCAACTGGATCAGCTCCTGGATGGTACAGTGGGCCTGTGCTCTGCTCTCAAAAAGTGGTCAAGCTACTCTGGAGAGAAGGAGTCTTTCCAATCGGACATTTTCAGTTCTGGGATTCACCCTCCCAGGAGGACTTGGCAACCTCAGCTGCTCAGGGCATACTTTATTACTCTAGTTTAAGCATTCCTTAGGACAAACACCTGCCCTCCTCCTCCAGAGCTACTGACTGAGCTAGGTCTCTCATGCCAAGGCCACATAGCTCTGAGGTAACCTGGTGCTGACTGGGGCAGGTCCAGCATACAGGCCTCCTGCTGTGAAAGGCCAGGGAAGGGGGCAGCCAGGGACAGGAAGACCCTCCAGTCATGCAGCATGAGGAATGAGGCAGTGAACATGATGGCCAGTCTCCCCGGGCCCTGGACACTCACCTGAGGGGATGAAGAGGGTCTGCCCCTGCTTGACAGTGCACCTGTAGCACTTATCCACCTGGTCAGCAAAGAACATCTCGCTGTGGTTGGAGGCTGACCGCCAGCGCTCATACAAGGAGATGTTGGCTGAGGCTGGCCGAATGAGATAGAAGATCTTCTCTCCCTGCCAAAAAGAGCCCACTGGCAGAGTTGCAACACCAGGGATGTGGGGCAGAGCCCAGCTGGTGCTGGGCAGCTGAGGTGGAAGGTAATCGTCTAGTACTGAGGATGCTGGGGTGGGGCAGAGCCCACTGGGTTCTGAGGATGCTGGGGTGGGGCAGAGCCCACTGGGTACTGAGGATGCTGGGTGGGGCAGAGCCCACTGGGTCCTGAGGATGCTGGGTGGGGCAGAGCCCACTGGGTCCTGAGGATGCTGGGTGGGGCAGAGCCCACTGGGTCCTGAGGATGCTGGGGTGGGGCAGAGCCCACTGGGTCCTGAGGATGCTGGGGTGGGGCAGAGCCCACTGGGTCCTGAGGATGCTGGGTGGGGCAGAGCCCACTGGGTCCTGAGGATGCTGGGATGGGGCAGAGCCCACTGGGTACTAAGGATGCTGGGTGGGGCAGAGCCCACTGGGTACTGAGGATGCTGGGTGGGGCAGAGCCCACTGGGTCCTGAGGATGCTGGGATGGGGCAGAGCCCACTGGGTCCTGAGGATGCTGGGTGGGGCAGAGCCCATTGGGTTTCTGGGGATTCTGGTTGGGGCAGGCACCATGGGGTGCTGGGGAGCACTAGGATAGATGGAGAGCCCACAGGGTTCCAGTAACGTTATGGATAGGGATTAGAGTCTGCCCAGTGCTAGAGACTCTTTGCCAGGGCATACAGCCCATTAGCATCTGGGGTACAGAGGCAGACAGCAGAGTCAAGCAGGTGCTGGGGACAATGGGCCTGGAGTGGAGCCCTTTACAACCCGCAGGGATCAGGTGACAGGTCCTGACTTGAAAAGCATTCTCTCAGGCTCACCACTCCCACCTGCAATGCTGCTTTGCATTTTGGAAGTTTCCCTGTTAGGAAGGTTCTAGGTGTGTGAGTCTAATAGTCAGGAGCAGTACACACACGATTCCATGGCACTACATATCCCAAGTGTGCTCAGGGGTAATAAAATCACACACTGCCACCCAGCAAGTCCTTGCTGTTCTCAAGAGCTTCTGGGTTTCTGGACTGGATTAAATGTTAGTTATCATTTCCCCGTGTGGTCCAGGCCAGGCTCTGCACCCAGAGCAGAAAGAGCCCCATACTCATGTTCTGGGAACAGATGTCATGATGGCATCCTCAGAGTCTCATAGGGCCAGGATGGGTATGTGAATCCACCACCCCAGTTCAAGCATAGCTGGCCTGGAGAAGTAGTTGGCTGCCAGTGAAGCCAGAGCTCAGGGTTTCTATTGTTCTATACATCTTGTTCTCTTAATTTCCCCTTTGCCCCAGTGATAAGCCCCACAACCCTCCTGACAGGCTCAGGTACCCGCCATCTTGTCTGCTGATGTCACTGGGACACCAGATGACACAGAGGCCTCCCCCAGTTGTTAATGGGCCCTAAGGACATTAGAAAGGGGAAATACACACATGTGCCCAGTCCCAGACGCTCCTCTAGCCATACACATCTTGTTGACTTCCTGCCCCCAGAACTGGCCATCCCAGGATCCCCCTACGCAGGAAGTGGGTGACTTCCTGGTCACAGATAGGGCTTGGAGGGGACTGTAATCCCAAGAACAGAGAATAGGGAGTCAAGGGTGAGGTATGTCTTGAGGGGTGTGGCTCACCTTGAGGACATGGTACCAGGCCGAGGCACCCCCAGAGTCTATGTGGAAGTCAGTGTAGCTGTCCTTCACACAGATCAGGCAGTACTTGGTCACCTTGGGCTTGGCCAGCAATGCATCATCAGGCCAGTAGTTTTCCACCCAGGACAGTTTCTTCACAATGTCAGGTGGCTCTACAAAGCTGGACATTCTGGGGCCATGAAAGGAAGAGTGGTCAGGGGGATGGAGCCCAGAGCGTCCACTGTTAATGCATCCTAAGGTAGGAACAGTACAAAGCCCCTTCCACAAGCTCCCTCATAAGTCCGCAGGCCCTGTGCAGTCATCTAACTGTATAGAGAGTAAACCAAGGGCTCCGGGGGTAGAAGGAGCCCAGCCACTGCAGGGGGCTGCAGCTGCCACAGAGGACTGTCTCCGCCCCAGGAAGAGGGATGAGCCTTTAAAGTGACCCACTGGGGTTGGTGCCACAAGACTCTCAGAAGAAATGCTTCTCACACATGACACAGAGCCTCCTGTACCATTTGAAGATAGGCCACCTCTCTCCAGGGCAAACACAGGCAGTCCATATACTCCCTGTCACATTTAGCTGCTGTCAAATCAGCCACTTCCAAAGAAGGTGGGAAAAGGCAGAGGTGTTTTGTTTTTGTTTTTCACCTTGACATAAGCCAGAGTCATCTGGAAAGAGTGAACCTCTGTTGATAAAACGCCTCCATCAGACTTGCCTGTAGGAGAGCCTGTAGGGCATTTTCTTTACTAATGACCAATACGGGAGGTCCAGGCCACTGTGGGTGGTGGTCCTGGGATGTATAAGGCAAGCCATGAGGAGCAAGGCAGTAAGCAGCACTCCTCCATGGCTTCTGCTGCAGTTCCTGCCTCAGGCTCCCTCCCTGATGGACTAAAGCTACAAAATGAAATAAACCCTTTCCTCCCCAGCTTGCTTTGGTCATGGCGTTTTACCTCAGCAACAGAAATTAATCTAATATATCTGGGGTTTAGCGACATGTCAGTGACAGAGAACCCAATATGAGTGTTCTTTGCGCCTCAGGCCAGACAGGGTCTCTCATGCCTTTACACCTAGCCCACAAGTCTCTACCTTGCCTCTGCTGAAGACCATATATACCCTGGCCAGGCTGCCTGCAGTAGGCTCGTATAACCTGATCCTCTGTATCCATTTTACATATGAGCTAGCCTTTCCCATTCCTAGGTAGGGCTCCAGCACCCCTGACTCGACCCTAGTCCCCAACCTCCTTTCACACCCTGACATGGCCCATGCAAATGCGTTGGGGACTACCTCCCTGTGGGACAGGCACCGTCTATTTCCAACTCTGCTGACCCCACAGCCAGTGTGCATGATGCACACCTGTCCTGTCCACCCTGCTCAGTGACCCTTGGGGAACTCGTGTCTCCTTCTGTAAACAACCAATACAAACCCTGATAGGTTTTTAATGTATTTGGAGGAAGCCTAGGACCCACAAAGGCAGCGGCCCCCAGGCTCCTCTCCCTGTCTGTGCTTCCTGATCTTCACGAGTGCAACTTCCAGGCTTGCTGTGTCTCTCCTGTCAGTACATGGGATCTCTCCATCTCCATGAAAACACTACCAAGAATCACAGCCTGGTCCTGTTGCTTCAGCCTTATGACAGGGCAGAGTCTGTGCATAACTGACCCACAGACACCCCATCCCATAGGGATCACACTAATAACACCTAGGACCTGCTGGGACATTTGTGAGTGGCCTCATAAGTCAAGGAGTCACAAAGCAGCCGCAGAGTAGGAGAGCAAGCATAGGCACACCAGGGTGTCGGTACATGTGGCGGGGAGTACGCGATGGAATCGGTGTCAGTGGGTGTCACAGTCAGGAGGGGGCTGGGTATTCACACAACCACTGTGCTGTGGGTATCCTGACCATGTCAGTGCTGTGTCTCGGAGTGTTCCTGAGTGTGAATGTCTAAGCACGTCTGTCTTGAGTGTGTCTACATCTTGTTCCATGAGTATGGGTGTGTCAGTGTGCTGACTCAGTGTGCCATGAGAGTATGTCATTGTGCTGTGTCTTAGTGTGCCCCTAGGTATGCATGAGAGTATTTGAGTATGAATGGGTGTGTGCATTGTTTGTCTGTCATGAGTGTATATCAATGTGCTAAGCTTCTCTGTTTGTGTGTTATACTTCTGAGAGTTTGTGTGTGTCACAAGTATGTGTCAGTGTGTCATCTCAGCATGTCATTAGCATGTATGAGGAGCACATGTCTCTGGATGGGACTCGTTCAGTGGCTTTCTCTGGGAGTGGAGTGGTTTCCTTTTCACTCCTATTTCATCTGAATTATTTCAGTGTGTTTTTAAGAGAAAGGAAAACCAAGGCCTCATGGTGATTTCTGGGCAGCTCACAGGACAGCAACAGGCCACACAGAGTAGGACACCAAGTCATGCCCTGCAGCCTCCTCCCAGGGCAGAGCCCCAAGCAAGGTCCCCACACCAGGCTAGAACCCCAAACCAGGCTTCACAACCCCAGAACCCCATGCGGGACTCAGAGCCAGCTCTTGCAGCCCTCACAGCAGGATGGTTCAACACCACCATCCTGAGTTCTAAAGACTAGTGACACTGACCCCGAGCCAGAACCACCAAGGCCCAACCCAGAGTAGTCTGTCACCTGGTGTCTGAGAACTCGAGGTTGGTCACATTGAGGACACGCTTGCGGTTGGTGCTATAGTAATAGTCCACAAATTCTTTCAACTTCATTTTGCAGTCTTTCTGCTTGGTGACATCTGTCACATCCACGCTTCTCTCTGGCCCTGGGGAGGAAGTGGGAGGACATGAGCTTACCAGGAGCGTGCCATGGCCTCCCTGGAGGACATGATAGGGTAGAGACTTACATGTCCTCAGTTGCCCTTGTACACTGTCCTATGGGCAGTGCCCCCATACAACAGATAAGGGCTGACCTTATCTCCTTTACCTATAACTGCTGTGGATTCACAGAGTAACCGATGCTCCTTTCCTGGGCCCAGTAACACTGTGAGGTACTAAATCGCAACTCAGCTAGAAAGGCCACGTCAGCAAATAAATACACATATGCATGATCAACTTGAGCTTCAGATAACAGCAGACATCTTGGCATAACTACTTTCAAAATAATACTAAAGTTAAAAGCCAGGAGCCCCACATTTCAAGGGTATTTGCTTGGTGTGGGTATACAAAGGCTTGGTCCCGCTTGTGCTGCTGTTTGGAGGTGGTGGAACATTTAGGGAGTGGGGAGGATGCTAGGTCACAGGGAGGTCCCTGGAGAGGACTGGAGGACCCTGGAGAGGACTGGAGGACCCTGGAGAGGACTGGAGGACCCTGGAGAGGACTGGAGGTCCCTGGAGAGGACTGGAGGACCCTGGAGAGGACTGGAGGAACTGGTTCCTTCTTCCTTTTGCTTCCTCATGGCATGTGGGTATATCATAGGTACATGATATGAGCAGTTTGTTCCATCACACACAACCTCATCAGGGGACCCACAGCTTTGGGGCTGATGATTATGGACTTGTAGCTCTAGAATCAGGAGTTCAAATAACCTTCCCCTCCTTTATAAATCATTTGTCACAAATATTTTATTGCAGTGATAGAATTCTAATCAGGAGAACTAATACAGACACCAACTTGATGTTCTGATTAATTGATGACTAAAGGGGAGAACACTTATCTTGTCCTTCCTACAGCTGACGAGGATAAGCTGAGGCTCTTCATATAACTAAGGATAGAAAACTCTGTACAGAAAGGTCTTGACCAAGAGAAGAAGAAACAATACAGAATGGACAGGCAAACATGCCCTTTTGTCGGGGTCCTACAGTGGCTGCTCTAACACAAGGTAGACGCTTCTGAAACATCTGTGGACAAAACACCTGGACACCAGGCCCCACTGACCACGGCAGTGCCATTACAGGTGTGTGTTAGGCACTGTCGGTGACCTCAAAGATGAAGGTGCACCCACTGGGAAGGGAGAGCCACAAATCCTGGAGCGAGAATGCCTGTAAGCCGAAGTTGATGGGAAAACACCCAGGACACAGTGATCTGCCGGATGCCACAGCAGGGGGGCTCTGACAATCAGTCTCACCCTGGACCTGAGAAGTTCTGTGGGACCCAAACTGACAAAAAGGCAGGGGTGTAAGGCTGTCACAGAAGATGTGAGGGACGTGAAAACCAAATGTTCCCGTGAGTCCTCTTTAAATTGAGTCAAATGACCAAATGTAAAGAGTCTTTTGTATCTCTGGAGGTAAAAACCCAGGACCTTGCACACGTAAATAGGTACAAGCATGTGTGCATGTGTGTGTCATGTATGTGAATGTAAGTGTATGTGTGGAGGGCAAAGACACCTGTCAGGAGGTGTCCACACCATCTACTCCGCTTGATTTGAGCAGGGTCTCTCTGTTCACTGCTACGAGCTCTGGACTAGCTGGCTGGCCTGGGAGCTTCCGGGTGATTCTCTCATGCCAGGCTTCCGTCTCACAGTGAGGTTAGAGATGCACACTACCACATTAGCTTTTTATGTGAGTTCTGATCATCAAACTTACATGGCAAGCTTCTCCATAACTCTAAACAGGAATTTTCTGAGAGAACTGGGAGGATTAGGTCAAAGTATAAGCGTATCCAAACTGCAGCCCACAGCCACGTGTGTCCCAGGATAGCCAAGATTGTGGCCCAATATATTTGTAGATGTTAACATCATGTCACGATGTCAGAAGACATCCCTGTGACTCTTCCAGGGAATTATCAATGTGGTGTAGTGACTTAATGGCAACTGTGTTTAAAACTATGTCCAGTTAACATTGGAGTTCATGGGCAAAAAGAAAGATGTAGGCAAATGTAGGTCTTAAAGCACTTTAAGGGAAAAACAGTTTGGGAGGAGAAAACCTCACAAAGCTGGTGGATGTGTGGCCAACAGTCAGGTGCACAGGCTTGCTGTTTGTTTCCTTTAGTTTTTGTATTTAAAATGTTCCATGTGCCAGGTGTGGTGGCAGAGGCTGGCAGAGTTCTGTGAGTTCAAGGCCAGCTTGGTCTACATAAAGTGTTCCAGACCAGCAGAGCAATGAGACCCTATCTCAAACAAACAAACAAACAAAAATAAAACTTCACAAAAGTCAGGGAAATGGATCATTGGGTAAAGCAAAGTATTTGCATACTCTGAGTTCAGAACCCTAGCGTTCATGTGAAGTGAAGAGTATGGCCTGCACTGGGGGAGGGAAGCAGGGAAGGTCACAGGAGATCACTGGGGCTCCAGGTTCAGTGACAAATCCTGTCTCAAGAGCCTTAAGCCTTACATACTCTCATCAGATCAAGGATAAGGTCAAGGTGCTTATACACGGCACAGTTCCTCATCCCCCAACACTCCCCTACTCCAGAGTCCTACAAGACACACAAAGGACAGTACTTACCCACATAGTTCTCCACATCACTCACATAGAACGTGGGGGCAGGGACAGCTAGTCCCAGTCCATCTTTCTTGGGGACAAGGATGGGCTCGGTGAAGCCATGCTCCTCCATGTAGCCCACTGTGAGCTGACTACCTGGCACACGGGACACCACATCTTCAGCACTGTGGAGAAAGGATGTGTCAGGGGCCTCAGGGTACCTGACTATGAACCTCCCATGTTCCTGGGGTTTAGCTTGCTGCAGCACCCTGAAACTGCTAAGGCAGCTATAGTCAAGTTTACGGTGCTGATTTCAGCAACCCATCACTGAGAGTAGGGTACACAGGTCCAAGCCAGGTATCACAATGATGAGAGGCAGAAAAGCTCTGCTGTGTTTCTGGATGCTGGCCACCCTTCTCGCTGCAGCAAAGCAGGCAGAGAGGCACCATTGCCTGGGTCTGTCTGTCTGTCTGTCTGTCTGTCTGTCTCTCCCCCTCCCTTCCTCCCTCCCAAACACCTGCATGACAAAGAGAGAGCAAAACAAGTCCTTCTGCTTCATCTTACAAAACTCACAAGCTGATCTTAAAGTCCACATGGACCACTCGAGGGAACCAAAATAACAAATAACAAACACAGTCTTGAAAACATAAAGCAAAGTTTGGGAACCCGCAGCTCCTCATTTCACAGGTTACTACAGGAGTCAAGTGTGGTCCTGGCACAAGAACAAACACGGGCCAGTACCTAGAATTTTGTCCAGACATAAATGAGGACAAACACTCGGTTTCAACAGAGATGACAGGTAATAGTAAAAGGTAGTCTTTCCAGCAAGTGATGTTGGGGGAGGAGGAAGTTAGGTTTTTGACTCCATTCTATATGTAGAAATTAACACAAAATGTATCAAAGTACAAACTAAATGCAGCAACTACAAAACCTTTAGGAGAAGACAGGAAGATAAATCTCCATGACCTTGGATCTTGTGAAGGTTGTAGATAGCGACATGAGCACAAGAAACAAATGAGACTAGATAAAGCCAACAACATCAAAAGTACTTCCTGCTTCAAAGGCCACCATCAAGACAGTCAAGACAGACTACAGGGCAGGAAATATCTGCCAGTCGTGTACAAGGAATATTCGTACAGAATATGTAACAAGGGGCTGCAGAGATGCTCACAGGTGGCTCACATCTGCCTGGAGCTCCAGCTCCTGGGGATCCGATACCCTCTTCTAGACTCTGCAAGCACTTATGAGCACATATGGCCACACAGACACAAACACACACAGACGTTTTTAAAGCCATTAAAATATGTAAAGAACTTTTACGAGTCAACAACAAAAAGATTATTTGAAAGGCGTGAGGTGGAGGCTGGAGAGATGGCTCAGTGGTTAAGAGCACTTGTTGCTCTTGCTGAGGACACAGGTTTGGTTCCGAGCACCCACGTGGTAACTCAAAACCATTCCTAACCCTGGCTTCAGGAGATCCGATGCCGTCTTCTGACCATGCATGTGGTGCATATGCAAAACACTCATACATATAAAATAAAATAAATCTAAAAAACCTTTTTTTTGAGGGGGGTCAAGACAGGTTTTCTCTGTAGCTCTGGAGCCTGTCCTGGAACTTGTTCTGTAGACCAGGCTGGCCTCGAACTCACAGAGATCTGCCTGCCTCTGTTTCCCAAGTGCTGGGATTAAAGGTGCGCACCACCACCATCTAGCTACAAAACCTTGTTTTAAGTGTGAGGCAGGATCAGTGAGATGGCTCAGCAGATAAAACTACCTGCCGATAGGCATGCTCATGCACATTAATGAACACATACACAAGTAAATATGCAAGTATAACAAAAATGAATGTGAGGCAAAGGGCTGGGGAGACCTCATCTCAGAGCAGGGGGAAGAGAGAGAGAGAGGGAGACAGGGAGGGAGACAGGGAGGGAGAGACAGAGAGAGAGAGGGAGGGAGAGAGGGGGGAAGAGAGAGGGGGGAGAGAGGGAGAGAGAGGAGGGGGAGAGAGGAAGAGAGAGAGAGAGAGAGGGAAAGAGGGGGAGAGAGAGAGAGGAGGGGGAGAGAGGGAGAGAGGGGGAAGAGAGAGGGGGAGAGAGGGAGAGAGAGGAGGGGGAGAGGGAGAGAGAGATAGAGAGGGAGAGAGAGAGAGAGAGGGAGAGAGGGAGAGAGAGGAGGGGGAGAGAGGGAAAGAGAGAGAGAGAGGGAGAGAGGGAGAGAGAGGGGGAGGGGAGAGAGGGAGGGGGGAGGGAGAGAGGGAGAGAATCGTGTCTGTTAAACAACACCTAAGGTTATCCTATGCCTCCAAATGCAGGGGCACACATGTGTGTACACACATATGTATGAGCAAAGAATCTCAGTAGATTCTCTAAGAAGAGACGGAAAGGCCCACGTGTAAACGAAAAGTTGTTTAGCATCTGTAGTCATGAAGGGCACGCAGGTCAAACTATAAGAGACCACTTCACACCCACAGGACGGCCAGATTGAAAATCTCGACAGTAAGGGGATCTGGTAGGATGTGGAGCACCCCCTCCTGCAAGGCTGGTGGGAATGTCACATGATGCCGCTGCCTTGCAAAGCAGCCTGGCAGTTCTCAGACAATTAAACACAGAATTTCCATCTGACCCAACGGCTCCACACTAAGAAATAGAAACATATGACCACACAAAACGTGTACATAAATATTTAGACCGCAATTATTCATGGTAGTCAAAAAGCAAAAATATAAAAACAAAAACAGTAACAGCCCAAATGGCCATCAGCTGAACGACATAAACAGCAAGCAGTGCAGCCAGACAATGGGATATTATTCAGCCAAAAAGAGAATGAAGTCCTGACAAATGCTACAATGTCGATGAGCCTTGAAAATAATCAGAACAAAAGAAGCCACCCAAATACTGGGTGATCCTATTTCTAGGAAATGTCTCAGTAAGTAGATTTACACATGACAAAATAGGCTCAGCAGGTAAAGGTGCCTGTGGTTTCTCAGAACCATGGGGAAGAAGTTTGTAGGATCTCTTTGCAGAGATGAAATGCTCTGAAGTTGACGAATGAAGATGCACACACCTGTGAGGACGCACACACCTGTGAGCATGCACACACCTGTGAGTAGGCACACACCTGTGAGCATGCACACACCTGTGAGGATGCACACATCATCTGTGAGGACGCACACACCTGTGAGGAGGCACACACCTGTGAGGACGCACACACCTGTGAGTAGGCACACACCTGTGAGCATGCACACACCTGTGAGTATGCACATACCTGTGAGTATGCACACACCTGTGAGTAGGCACACACCTGTAAGGACGTACACATCATCTGTGAGGACACACACATCATCTGTGACTACACACACACCTGTGAGCATGCACACACCTGTGAGTAGGCACACGCCTGTGAGGACGCACACACCTGTGAGTAGGCACACACCTGTGAGCATGCACACACCTGTGAGTAGGCACACACCTGTGAGCATGCACACACCTGTGAGGACGCACACACTTGTGAGTAGGCACACACCTGTGAGGATGCACACATCATCTGTGAGGACACACACACCTGTGAGCATGCACACACCTGTGAGTATGCACACACCTGTGAGTATGCACACACCTGTGAGTAGGCACACACCTGTGAGTAGGCACACACCTGTAAGGACATACACATCATCTGTGAGGACACACACATCATCTGTGACTACACACACACCTGTGAGCATGCACACACCTGTGAGTAGGCACACACCTGTGAGGACACACACACCTGTGAGGATGCACACATCATCTGTGAGGACGCACACACCTGTGAGTATGCACACACCTGTGAGGACACACACACCTGTGAGGATGCACACATCATCTGTGAGGATGCACACACCTGTGAGGATGCACACACCTGTGAGGACGCACACATCACCTGTGAGGACACACACATCATCTGTGAGCATGCACACACATATCAAGAGCTCCTGAACTTTATAAAAGCATGTTATAGTAAGTGAACTGCATCTCAGTGAAGGTCAGGGGAGCTGGAGAAGCAGCACTCCACTCAGAGGAGCGAGTAAACGGCTCAGTTGCTCTCATGAAATCACATAATAAGCATCAAAAGAAACCCAGTAATTGAGAACTCTCTGTGCAGTGATATTATCCCTCCAAAGAGAGAAATGAAGATTTCTGTCTGACAGACAGAACCAGACTCACAACTGCGGTGACCCAGAACAGCTTCCTGAAACTGCTCTTTGCCAGACCTCAGAAAGAACAAGGGTGTAGCAATAGAAGGAAGGCAAGAGCCTCTGCCAGGTGCGAAGGGCATGAAGCAGGTGGCCAGACACCAGGAAGGAGAGAGGCACTTTCCACCAGAGGAAGAAAAGCAGTGCCAACGTGTGTCCTCAGGAGGTGTGGGCAGAGGAGAGAAGTGACCCGTCTACGGAAGGCCTGAGGTTCCAGCCTCCACAACAGGTTCCTGGATCTTTGCTCTCCTGGAAAAGGGAGTCCCCAGTGAAAGACATGAGCACCGAGAGAACGGTCCACACATGGGTGTGGTGATCAGAAGATGGAGGGGGCGGGGCTTCAGCAGATGGGTCTGCCCAACTGAGAAAAGCCAGTCATCTGTGGAAGGCAGCTCACCTGGAGAAGATCCAACCACCCAGTGAAGGCCCACCACCTGAGTAAGGATGGGGACAGTCCAGCCACCTATGGAAGGTCACCTACCTGGGGAAAGTTCGGCTCCGCAGCTCCTTGATGAAGATCTGGCTGCCATTTTGCACTGGCTTCATGTCCGGCATCTGCCCAGGGCCGTGTTTGTGCCAGGTCCGCTTTTTCTTGACTGGAGAGGACACAGAGATGGGTCTGTTCCAAGCACAGCTCCCACCCAACTTTGGAGGCCCTACACCTATAAGAGGACAACCCAGCTGGGCACCACAGGGGGCAGAACGGAAGCCAGAGAGCTCACAAACACAGCAAACCCAAAACCTCTCCCACAGACCCTCCAGGCCGCACCGCACCTCCCCATCTTCATCCCCGCCTCTCGCAATGGCCGTCACACTTGCACTCCAGCCTGGCCCTCCTCACTCAGGCACCCAGGGTGGGAGGACACATCCTGCTTGGCCTCCACACGAAGAGCTGCTACCTTTCTGTCAGGACCTTCCCTTTCCCATTCCTCTTTCCCCAGTCAGTGAAGATGGCCTGAGGTGTAGGGATGTCAAATAGGCCCTGGTACTGAAGCTGTCATACGGTCCTCTGAACAACAGAGGGCAGTGCTGGGGACTGGGTTCTCACCCCAAGCCCACAGAGGCCATGACAGTGAGGCCTGAGTTAGGGATGGGGAGTGGTCCCACCAGCCAGCTGAGTACACTGTGCCACAGACTGGACTCAGAGCTGCAGCAGCCAGGCTCATGTCTAGGAGCCTGAGACTCCTGTACCAAACTTTCCTTGGTCAGATAAACATGTCTCGTGGCCTTGACTAACACACACTGGCCAAAATCACCCCAGAGAACACACAGAGACTGTGTGGAGTTGAGCCCTAGAACCCACACCGCTGCCGCTCAGTGAGGAAAAAGCTGCATGGAAGGCCCTGGCTCCTGACTCCACCAGGCATGGGAGGGCCTTCTGTCACTGAGGCTTTGGGGAGGGAAGTATGACCAAACCATGTCACAGTCAGGCACCGCTCACAGTGCTCAGAGACACTCAGCTTAAAACAAACTACACCGGCAGAGAGAGGGCTAGGACCTTGGATCACGGTGTCTGCAGGGGCACAAGACTCTCCGAGCAGCAGAGAATCTGAACTGCCGTGTTTACACAGCCCCCTGTGAGTACGCACGCAGATGGACATTGTGCGCACACACTCGAGCATGCTCTGACTGGCCTGGGCCCCAGATCTGTGTGTTGAAATCCTTAGTCCTCAAGGTGATTAGGAAGTGGGGCACCTGGAGGAGACTAAGCGATGAAATTAAAGTCTTGATGATACAGACGGGAGGCACAGGAGGCTCCCTCACCCTCTACCCTGTGAGAAGATGCCCAAGATGCTAACATCCTGATTTTCGACTTACCTGGACTCAGAATGGCATGAAATGAATTTCCTGCTATTTAAGCGACCCAGCCTGTGGCATTTGTTACAGTGGCAAAAACAAGCAAGCAGGTGCGTAGGCACAAATGCAGGCACACGGCACTCCCTGGGAGCTGGTGGCAGGAATGGGAATTGGAGTTGGCGCCTGGGCTCCTGGCTGACGGTGGAGGTTCCCCTCAAACCCCTGCCAAGCCCAGGGGCTGGGTCTTGGTGAGGCACAGCACACACCTTCCCAGGAGATAGGTTGTTGACACTGTGCAAATGCTGTTTCTGAGGATGCCGACAGCACCAAAAGAATCAAACTGTTGACCACTGATGCAAGCTGCTCAGCCGCCAACCTTCATTCTACCTGGGCAAGAGCCCACAAGCAGGACCCCTTGGTACATTCGTGACTGCTGGAGAAGCTCAACCCCAGCTTCTAACTTCTTCCTCTCCATTATCTAGAGTCTCCTCAGAAATGACTCCCTGATGCACTATGAAGTATCCAGATGAGTGTGACCCCAGCATCTTCCAGATCACCTTCACCAGGGACCCAGGATGAGCACACATGGCCTTCCCCCCACTCCTTAAGAACACAGCTGCTGGAGACTTTTGATCCAACCCTGCTCTGCTGTGATCCAGCCTCCCAGGCCCCACAGAACAGTTCTGGGTCCTGGTGGAAGCTCTCCACGCTTGTCTCATTTCTGATATAAAGGTAAAGAAGACACTGAGCGTATAACAAGGTACCAGGAGAGTGAGAATACTTCTTCTGCCCTTATCATCAGTGACTTAGCTGGCACAACATCGAGACACTCTGAGCATGAGAGCTGTGTGTCTGGGGAGGCCTGGAAGGCACCTTAGGAGTCCTGAACTGGCAGATGCTAAGGATGTACTAGGGCAAGACCAGAGACCAGAGCTGCCCTACCATTCCAGCAATGCACATAGGCCAGGCCTTAGAAGGGCCAAGAGACAGCAGACAGAGCCCAGGCGTGGGGAGAGCCTACCCACCGAGCCCCAGCCTGACCAGGAGCTGAGCCAGCCTCCATGCTCCCAGATTCTTGGATAAACCTTGGCTCACTAAATGGAAGTGTGGACCTTGCACTGTCCGTATCCATTGCCTGTGTACTACAGCCCTGGTGCCTGTGTCTCCCACTTCCTGAGAGGCCTGTGTCTCGCCCATTGCATGCATCCTACCTCACTACCCCCACCCACTGTCTGCATCTCTCTCATCTTCCTCTGTGTTTACAGCAATTACCACACAGAGCCAGGGAACATGGTCTCTCAGCTCGTACTGAGTAGCTGGGTGATGTTCTCTTGAAAATGACTAGGATAGGAGCTGGACACAGCCCCCAGTGGCCCATCCTAACCTCCCACCTCAACCAATCCAGCCTCAGGCATGGGATGTGAACAGTAAAACAGCCAGACCATGTCTACCTGTAGTGTATGTGAGTGCTTCTAACACAAACAAAGGCAGGAGCCCTGAGGACTGAGACACACACACACACACACACACACACACACACACACACGCACACACACAAAGCCTACTTGTCTGAAACTGCCCCGTATAGCTGAGCCTACACCTTGGTATTCCCTTAGCACCTGCTGCACAGCAGGGCCCAGAGAACAAGGGCAGGAAGGGGGAGCATGGGCACACGACAGTAGGCACTGTGGCAAAGTCAGACCCTCGAGGACGTCACGAGGGGTAAGCCAAGCTCCTAGAGGATGGACAACAGAGCTGCCCACAAATACACATGTGCATGTGTGGCTGGGCTGAGCTGGGGGCCCTGAACACCCCTTTTATCACCTGAGCTCCAAGCCCACACTTAGCATGGACTAGCCTGCCCACTGTAGGTGCTAGTGTGGCCCTGGCAAGACCCTGGTGATGGCAGAGTCTGAGGGCAAGCGTCAATCAGAAGGCAGTCAGCTAAGCTGGGGGTCCCCAGCACCAGGGCCACTGGGCTGGGACCTTGGTGTTCCACTGGGCCGAGGTACTTACGCGTGGACTTGCCATGGGTTTTCTCGCAGTTCGGACAGTGATAAATGTCGATATCTGGTGCCTCCTCCTCTTCCACCCCAACACAGCTGAAACAGGGGGAGACAGACCATAATTACTCTCACCGTCAGTTTCCCTGGGCACCTGCCATCCAGGGGACTGAGACCTGTGTGGGACCATGGTCCTCAGAAAGAGCGGGGAGAAAGGGCTGCCGAGCTGCCCTCCTCAAACACGAGCCTGCAGTGTGCACCGCAGGTGCAGATGCTCTCTGTGAGGACCCAGTGCGGTGCCACTCGCCCAGCAAGCCTGCCTCAGTGAGGACTGCTGCCATCATCACCCTGGAGGGCAGGGCAGTGTCTAGGAGCCAGGGGCGCAGCCCTCTCTAGTGGTAGCTAGGGAACAGAACACACCTGGGAAGACAGGAGAATCCTGAGCTACAACACAACCACTTGTCCCACTCAGCCTCAGGAGGTCAGGGCAAGGTTGAGGGACAGTGACCAATGTGTCCCCTTCTTCCCTCCCAGGAGCTCTTCCAGGGCCTGAAAACCTGCTCAGGAGACAGCTACTGGCGCTGGTCAGTCAGCAGCCAAAAGCTTTTTAGGGAATGAGGATATAATCAAAAGATGCAATCTACAATACCAACAGGCTCCCTAACACCCCAACCAGCAAACGAAACACATTGCTCTATTCTGACACTTCCACTCTTTGTTAAGGAAAAGAGAGGCCAGTCAAATGTGGGGAAAATTCAGCTGTGTTGGCGGGGTGCTGGGACAGGTAAATCCCACAAATGGGAAAAATCACTGGATTGGAAAACACACTGGATTGGAAAACCTTCCATCGAGCACAGACGCATAAACAGAGCTACCTGGTATATTTTAAAGTAGCATTTCCTGAGGGCAGCCCAGTCTCCACCCAGGAAGGGCTAAGGGAACTAGCTTTCTTAAAGTCACCAGTGTGCACTATGCAGCTGGTTTTTAGATGGGGCAAGTTCTAGAAATCCATCAAAAGTCAAAGTTCCCAAACTGCTTACGGCTGTATTTAGCATAACTTTTAAAATGTGTTCTTTTGTCTTTTTTGTTTTTAATGTGTGGCCTCATGATGTATTGGCTCATAGGGAGCCACTATAAACTTTACACCTATTAAAAATGAGTAACGGGGCTGGGCGTTGGTGGCGCACGCCTTTAATCAAAGCACTCGGGAGGCAGAGACAGGTGGATCTCTGTGAGTTCGAGGCCAGCCTGGTCTATAAGAGCTAGTTCCAGGACAGCCTCCAAAGCCACAGAGAAACCCTGTCTTGAAAAAGCCAAAAAAAAAATGAGTAATGGGAACTGAGGAGATGACTTAGTCAGTACAGGGCTTCGCTGTCAGGCACCAAGATCTGAGTTCAGATTCCCAGAACAGATACAAGAAAAGCAGGATGTGGTGGCACATACGTATAATGCCAGCATTGGAGGGGTGAAGGCAAGCATTTCCAGAGGGGTTCACTGGCTAGATAGATAACCTACCCTAATCAGTGAGCTTCCGGTCCCAATTAGAGACCCTGTCTCAAACAACAAGGTGAATGGCTTCTGGGAAATGATGGACAAGGTTGACCTTTGCCAATCTCGGGCAGGAAAAGGGAGGGTCTTTTCCTGACATCTAGTGTCCCTCAAACATCACCTGATGGGGCAGCCTATCTCTGCATCTGAGCTTTTTTTCACATCAAGTGAGGACTTCTCTGCTGTTCTGTTGATTTTGTTTTCCTGTGACAGGATTTCTCTGTGTAGCCCTGGCTGTCCTAGAACTCACTTCGGTAGACCAGGATGGCCTGGAGCTCAGAGATCTGCCTGTCTCTGCCTCCAGTACTGGGATTAAAAGTGTTTAACACCACACCTGGCATTAAATAAAGACTTCTTTAGCATCTCTTGGGGAGGGAGTAGATGATGTACAAGCTGATCCAGTAACAGCAGAGAGAATCAACCAAACCAAAGTTTACAAGCTCTTACCTGGCCTGACCAGACAAAAAGAGAGAACTAACAGGAAGATTACTAAAACCAAACTGATGTACAAACCAACAACTAGGAAGCCTAGGCGAAATGAAGAAATTCCCAGAACACACAAACTACAAAAAGTAATTCAGAAGCAGCACAGTAAGTTGTGACTCAGCAGCAGAGTGCTTGTTGAGCACATCTAAAACCCGGGGGTTGATTCCCGCAATCCAGCAACACATAGTACACACTCTGACAGACAAAAACCTCCCTCAGAAAACTTCAGAGACCAGCAAGACGGCTCAGGGGTAAAGGCACTCACCACCCCGCCTAATAATGGGAGTTCAATTTCCTGGACCCAAAAGGTGGAAGGAGGGAACAGACACCTGCCAGCTGTCCCCCAACCTCCGCATGTGCGCTGTGACACATGCCTGGGTGTGAGCATGTGTGCACAAGCACACACACACACACACACACACACACGAGTAAAGTAATAAATGGGAAAAGCCCAGAAGCACCACTAGTGAATTCTATTAAAAAATAATAATAATACCAATCCCTTCTCAAAAACAAATAGAAAAGAAATATTCTACCCATCCCTCTTTTGGTGCTGGCAATGAATTTAGGGTCTCAATTATGCTGGACAAGGATTCTTATCATTTATTCCAGTCCTCCTGATTCCCTTTATGAGATCAATAATATCTTGATTCCAGAGCCAGACAAAGGTATACAAAAAACCAGACCAACATCTCTTATTAATAGCAGTATAAAAATCCTCAGCACACTAAGGGGGTTGTATTCCACAATCAAGTGAGACTTATCACAGGAATGCAAGGATAGTTCAACATGAAATCAACCAATGCTTCAATCTCTGGAGCATCACATCTGGCTGCAGGGACAGGGTGTGCCCTGGGGCCCCACCCTGGAGATTACACAGGAGCAGGAATTATGCAAATTTCATCCACTCTTGAGACAAAAGGCAAGGAGCACAACTCACCTGGCCCTTTCTCTGTCACATTTCTTTCCCAGTCCCTCACCAACTCCCACTTTCCTAAGATGCCCTCACCCCATGTAAACACAAGGAAGGATCATGTGAGCACCTCCACTGATACAGAAAAAGACACTTTGCAAAACCCAACACCTAATCGTAATTTTATTTATTTTTATTTGGGAGAGAGTCACCAATTTTCTCTGTGTAGCCCTGGCTGTCCTAGAACTCACTCTGTCGACCAGGCTGGCCTCAAACTCAGAGATCCGCCTGCCTCTGCCTCCTGAGTGGTGGAATTAAAGGTGTGTGTCACAATGTCCAACTCTCGTATTAATCTATAGACTAAGAATAGAAGATAAAGGTGTAATATGAAAAACTCACGGCTAATATTACACAGAGTGGTGAAAAACCAAGCTTTCCCCAGGTCTGAAATGAGGCAGGATGCCTGCTGATGCCACTTCTACTCAACACAATGTTAGAAGTTGCTAGTCAGAGCAATTATGCAACACAATTAAATTAAAAGCCTTCAAACTGAAAGAAGTAAAATGATCCTTATCTGCAGAAAACATGCTTAAATATGCAGAAAACCATGTGGAAACCTTGTATATAAAACATGCTATCACTAGTAGATAAAGGGAGAAGTTGTAGGACGCAAGATTAACACACACGCACAGCTGTGTTTCTAGACACTGGCAACAGATATTCGAAAAGAAAATCTATTTGGAGGAAATGTACCTCAAATACAGGCAAGATTTGTACACTGCTGAAACAAGAGTAAAGGCTGACTTTAAACACATGTGGAATTGTGAAGGACCCCAAATAACCAGCACAATCTCCAAAAACAAGGTTAAAGTTAAGAGAATACATACTTCACAACTTCAAAACTTACAACAAAGTCATAGTAACCCAAACAGTGTGGCACTGGCATCTAGCTAGAAATAGACCACCAGAATAGAATCAGAAATAAACCCATATATCAGTGATCAATTCATTTTTGGCAAGGGCTGTAAGATCATTCAGTTAGGAAAGATTGTTCTTTGTGTGTGTGTGTGTGTGTGTGTGTGTGTGTGTGTGTGGTGTACTGCATACACATGGGTTTGCAGATGTGCACACTTGTGCGCATGCATGTAGAAGCCAGGGCAGGGCAGGACACTGGCTGTCTTCTTCCATTACCCTCCACTTTACTGTCCCGAGTGAGCAGGGTCTCTCACTGAACCTGAAGCTCACTCACCATTTTAGCTAGACTGTCTGCCCAGTGAGTTCCCAGGGTCTGCCTATCTCTACCCCTTAATTCCCACCCAACACCCTACACAAAAATTAACTGAAAACAAATCGATGAACCAAATACAAGATCGAAAATGATAAAACTATAAGAAGAAAACACAAATAAAATCTTCATATCTTTGGATCTGGCAGTGGATATAACACCAAAGGGATACGCAGCAGCAGCTACAAATGATAAACCGGGCTTTATCAAAATTAAAGACTTTCGAGCATCTAAGATTGGGCCAGGCAACATTTCATCATGGATGGGGGAGGGGCTCATGAAGTCCCACCCTTCCTGGCAGCTACCGGTTACTAGGTAGGGCAGGGAGTACCATTTTCTTCAGTACTATACCTTTGATAAGTTGCCTGTGACCCAATAAATAACCCCTCTCCCACGCTTGTGAAAGAAATTCCAGTTAAACTCAGTGACTCGAGAAAGGAGGAGGAGGAGGGGGCTTGAAACTGGCAGGGACTTGTTGGGAATGAGAAGAGCTTCAGTGAGAGAGGGAAAGGAAAGGGAACATATAATGGGGTGTGTGTGAAAAAGACCAAAACTCATTATATGTATGAATGAGACGTCAAAGAATTTTTCAGTTCAATTAAAAAACACTTTTGTATATCAAAGAACACTGTTGAGAAAGAAAAGGCCACTTACAGAAAGAGAAAAAAATATTTTAAAATCACATATCAGGTAAGGGTCTAACATCCAAATATATAAAGAACGATTATAGCTCAATAATAAGATAATCTAGTTTTAAAATGAACAAATGGCTCAAACAGACATTTCCCCAGAGAAGATGAACAAACAGCCAACAGGCACATGAAACGATACCGAACATTCAAGTCATTAGAGAAGTGCAAATCAAAA